TGGGCAGTAAAGCAACATGACCAAACTGCCAGGACTCAAGTCCTGCCTCCACCTTTTATTGGCTGTGGGTCCTTGAACAAGTACTTTAAGCTCTTTATGCCTCAGTTTCCTAAACTGCAAAATGAGGATGATAACACTGCTTATGTTTGGGGTTGTCGTGAGGATTGAATGAGTGAACACACTGAACGTGCAGACACAGGGTTATGTGCCGGATACTTAGAACGGCATTTGGCACGTGGTTAGTTCTCAGAAAATTTGGCCCTTTTTCTCACTGAGAGGGTGGGTAAGGTTTGGATGGTTTCTCTCCAGCTTTCCCCTGTGCTGTTCCCTCTTCCTGAAAGCCGTTTCTCACCAAACATTGACTTATCTTTAAGGCTTGGCTCAGGTCTCGCTCTTCCAAGGAGCCTTCCCAGCAGCCCCTTCCCCTTGGTGGATTGGGGGCTCCTCAGGGTTCCCACAGATTCCCTCCACCCCTTAGTTCCCTGACACCTTTAGTAGACTGCACTGTTATTGTCAGTATCTGGCAATTCAGAGCATGTTTCTGCCATTAGCCTGGGAGCCCCTGGATGGCAGGGTGGCATATGGCTTAGCCCACAGGTCCTGGCACCACTGTGTGCCCTCACGCAACGTGTGTGCAGGACTGGGCGATGGCTGCGTGGATGGCCTGGGTGAGAGGGCGTTCTTGCACAACTGCCAGCCCACTCCAAACAGGCAGCTGTTTGCTTTCCCAGGGGCCCTGTATAACCATCGCACCATCCCCAAACCAAGGCATGGCTGGTCCCTACTCACCGTGCCGTTCAGCAGCCCCCCCTTCGTAAACAGCCGAGACGACCACCTTCCCAATCGGGGAGTCCACACCGCCTTCCAGGGCCAGGTCTAAGGATCCTTCCTGTTTAGAGGAAAGCAGGCCTTAGGGAGCCAAGCAGACAGCAGCCTGTGGGCACCTAGAAACCAAGAAGCCTCTTGACAGGGCCACAGAGACAGCAGGAGAAACCATGGGGCCTACAGCAATGCAATCCCACCACAGGTGGGGCATCCCCAGAAGGGAGGGGAGGAGAGTGGGGACCTGAGGGGTCACCTAGGAGAAGCAGGGAACCAAGGTGGGAAGGGCAGGTGCAGACAAGGACAGTGGCCTGCCTGACCTCTGTTCCCAGGTACCTTCTTAATGCGCAGGAGCCGGACATCCTTCCCTGCGATCTGCTCTGGGGTGAACTAGAGGGAGAAAGATAGTGAGGAGTTCTGAGTTGGCCTGAGGGATGGGGATGAGGGCAGGGGTGGAAGGGCAAGCCAGGCCCCTGTGGGACACTGAGCCCCACAGAGTACATGGACAAAGGGACCTTTCCCAGCCCCACCCCCACTGGTCTTCAATTGGGGGTCCCAGGCCCCATGGGGGACAATGAACACACATTCATGTGCACACACACATACGTAGAGTGGTCACACAAGTCTCAGATTCATTTTTCCCAGGACTACTGTGAGCACTGAGCAAGAGCTGGCCTTGTAAACATACAGCACAGTGCCCAGAGTGTAGTTAGTGCCCAGCAAGTGTAACTGTTATAAACCACACACACCGACACGCACACGCGCGCGCGCACACACACACACACACACACACACGTGTGCCATACAGTTCACACTGGAATAATGCCATTTGGAAGGAGCCTTCACAGGAAAGAACAGTTGGGGTTTCCTTGGGGCTCCTCATGTGCCCTACCTCATCCCCGGGCCATCCAGGGCCCAGAATGCACCATCAAACATCTAATTCTAACCCCCGCCCCAATGCTTGGGATTGCTCCCCCAGGGAAGGAAAGTTCTCTCTTACCACGGAGTAGGGGTCAAAGCCTTCCTCATACTTTCGGAAATCCTGGAGGCAAAGGAGAGTTTTAGGGCCACAGAGCAGAGGCCCCTTGAAGGTCACTACAAAAACAGCCTCAGGGCACAGAGGGCAGGTGGGGAGTGGGTCAGATGCAAGACTCAGGGGTGGGGGAGAGAGGAGCAGGCGTGGCCTGGGTGGGGGATGCAGGGAGGAGGCTGGCAGCCCCAACTGCCAGAACACGCGCACTCAGGGACCAGCAGGAAGCTGCAGGAAGTGTTAGGAGGGCCCCGGCCCTGCCCTGCTCCTGTGGGGTGGGCGTCTGTGGCTGCAGGGGCATGGTTGGCGTCTAGACGGTCTGGGCAGGCAGTCCTCCCTGCTGAAAGTCTTCCCAAGAGGGAAGGGGGTGCTTGAGGGATCTGTGCGGCCTGGGGCCTGGCAGTATTCATAATGTAATGCTAACTAGAAGGTAAGAGGTCTCCCCAAGTTCCAGGGAGCCCAGGCTGGCCCCTCAGCCAGAGAAGGAGGAGGATATGCAGCTCGTGGGACCTGGCTTAATGGGGTTGCTATGGGGACAATGTCCCCAAGACTGAGAAAGAAGGCAGTGAGGAGAAGGTAGCAGAGCCAGAACACGCAGCCTTCTTCAGGAGTCACCCATAGTGAGTGGAACCAGGGTGTCCACAGGCCTGAGTGTCCAGGATGCTAACTAAGCCCGAAGGCAGCAGGGCTACGGCTAGTCCCCCAGGAAGGTGGAAGTGAAGAGAGCCCTTAGGCAGGTGCCCACACAGGCCTTGCCAGACTGAGTGGAGCCGCCCTCAGCACACAGTTCCCTAGGCCACACCAAGTGTCCCTGGGGCCTGTGTTCAGCATCATGGTGAGGCCACAGACCCCTCTATCCCTAGCCTCTGGCAACCAAGCTCTCAGCACAAGATGAGGGCCAAACATCAGCAGATGGATCCCTGGACACCTGCCTGCCATCTCTTCTCACTAGCTTTTGTCCCCTAGGCTCAACCCCAAAGAGGTCTTGAGCCTGGCCCAGTGTGGAGGCCACATCCAGGTCAGTCTGTGGGTGTTGGGGCAGCAGCCAGAGGAAGGGGTGCAGCAAACCCATGGGCAAGAGGGGACATTAGGCAGGATCTGAGGTCTATGCTCTTTCGCTGGGAAGGGCCTGCCTACCCTGGCTGTGCCTTCTGGAAAATAGGGTGGTGCTGGTGATACGCCTACTCCGGCCTGACCCTGAGAACCTGCTCTCAGGGACGGGCCAGATAGCAGGTTCTTGTGTCTTGTCTGAATTTAGATCAGAGGCTCATAAGCTGGTCAGCCCTTAAAGAAGGAGCTCAATCCATCATTTAACAGATGGGGAAACTGAGGTCCTGAGAGGTGATGCTCAGGCTCAAGGTTACCAGTCAGTGAGCAGGGGAGCAAGGGCTTGACTCCAAGCCTGGAGCCTCCAACTCCTCACCTCCCTGTTTCTCTCCTTTTAGGGCTGTTTGAGTCTTAAATAACCAGGTCCTTAACACCTATTTTATAATGGTGGTGCTCTGAGGGGCAGGGTGGCATAACATTTAAGAGCACAGGCTGCAATGCCTGACTTCCTGGATTCAAATCCAGGGTATGACACTAGCTGTGCCATCACAGACGTGTTTCCAAATCTCTCTGCTTCAATTTTTCATCTATAAAATGGGGATGATGATAATAGCCCTTACCTCCATTTGTTGCAAAGATTTAATGAGTTAATGTACATAAAGTAAAGAAACAGTGCTTAGCACAGCACACCCTCTGTTTTAGTTGTCTCCTGCCACTCCCCAGTCTGGGCTGGGATCAGCCTCTTTACAGACACCTGTGTCTCACTGTGCAGCTGACACCTCCCTTTTGCTCCCTGCCTATAGTCAAATCAGCCTGCAGTTTGATGGTGGGTGATCGCAGGAGGCTGGAGAAGCCAGGGCTGGCTGCAAGATTTTCCTCTATCTTGAGGACTCTTTCATTAGTGATGAAATAGCCCATCTTTCCTTCTCTCCTAGGCTGGAGCAAGGGCCTGTGACCCTCTGAGGGTTCCTTGTGCCCTGCTCCTCGTTGAACTAACTAACAGCAGCGAAAGAGGTGAGCGCCCAGGGATCCTGCTGCTTTCTCAGCTCGAGCACAGGGTCTAACAAGCCCTAGGTCCCCATCTGATGTGATATCCTCCCCAATCCCTGCTGCAGGCAATGGGGGACACAGCTCTGGCCTGAGGCTCCCCAGCAGATGGCGCTCTGGACCACCGGGGAACCCACCAGTACTCTCAAAGAGAGAGAAGCAGAAGGGGAGGGACGGGGGGTGGCAGGGAGGACCACAGGCACACGACGGGTATCACTTTACTTGTCTGAATGCTGTCTGATAAACCACCATCCTCTTCAACATCTCCTGAGGCTGCCAGAAAAAAAATAGTTCCACACCAGACATTACCAAGGTCTCGTCTGCCCCCTGGTGCCAGACCCCAGGCCTGCCAGCTTAGGGCTGCTCTGCCAATGCCCCTCCCAACAGATACTGCCTGACAGATGTCAGGGGCTGCTTAATGCCCCCAGACACAGCAGCTACCTGGTCATAGTCAAGCAGACACCTCCCCTTGTCATTAACCACAGAACGAGATGTAAATGCAGCCACAAGCTGTCCCAGGAGCCTGAACTTTGCTCTTTGCAGAGCTCACAGGACAGCTAAAGCTCAAAATAAATATCTGATTTGTCCTGCCCTAACATTTGGATAGGGTTTCCTTGAAAGAGAAATAAAAATTCTGGCACGGGGCTCTCTTCTCACTGTGCGTGGGAGGTCAGTCAGTGGCTGGCACCTCTGGAGGGTGCACCAGAGTCGCAGTTCCCTCAGCTGTCTGTGACTGGGGTGAGCAGCTCCTCCCCACTTCTGCAGAACCACACCTTAGGCTCTCAGGCCTAGTGAGGAGTGAGAAGTGAAATGGAGTAGGGGAGGACATCTGCGTAGGCTAGTTCCCTGTAAGATGTTACACGCCATGCCACCACAGGCACTGGGGCAGAGGCCAGAGCAACTGGGATCTCTGTGGGTTTTTGCAAGATGGCAACATGGCTAAGAGCATGGGCTTTGGTGTCCAAAAGACTTGGGAGTAAGTGGTAAGTCCTTGGGCAGCTGACCTACTGACCTACCCCGTCTAAGCCTCAATTTCCTCAAGTGTTAAACAGGGGTGACAACAGGAACCATCTCACCAGATTGTTGTGAAGATTAAATGAGACCACTCAGAGCCTGGAACATGGTAGGCTCTTAATAAATCTTAGCTATTATTATTATTATTATTAATCTTGGACGGAGCTCTGGGCTGTTTGGTCAAGTGAGGAACAGGAATTCCTCTGGTCATGTCAACATCCACTTATGCCCATATGGACTCATCCCTTGACCAATGAGGTTACAAGACGGCACCTGATCTGAGATTGTGTCCCACCTCACTCTCCCTCGACAGGCAGCAGAACCCAGGGGAGACGGCCCTGGTCTGCTCCTCTACAGATGCCCTGGAGGGGACCCAAAGGGCTTACCAGGACCTCGGATTTTACAGCTGGCCTGTAGATGAAGTTAGGCTCCTGGTGGACCATGACAGGTTTGGAGATGGTGGACACGCCAGGGCCTCGTGGAGGCTGTGGGCTTGGGCAAAATGTCTATGGGGTTAGTTTAAAAAAGAGCCATGTGAGGTCACAGTGGGGGTGGCCAAGGCCAGCCGTGGCACATCTACACACATGCAAATTCACACCCATGCACATGCCGAGCTGGCCTTGTCCATTCCCCCTGCTGGAGGTCCTGGGTTGTGATCTTCAGTGCAGCCTGGTGTGGGGGCGCCAGCAGCCACGGTTACTCAGAGGACACACTTTCAAAGCTCTCTCTCCATGGCCATGGGTGCCATCCAGCGTCCCCTCCCTTTAAGGGCTGTCTCCTTTGACCACAGTTCCAGACCCTAGACTGCAGCACAGAGCATCTGCTGTTCCTGGTGGGTGGGCACAGAGTTTCTAGAGGCCATGGAGTGAGGACCAGTATGAGTGGAATCCAGGTGAGCTGGTGTAACCTGTCTGCTTTGCTCTAGCCCATTTGATTATCTAAGCAAGGCATATCTGATCCGGTCGCAACCCTGCCCAAAACCCTTCCATGGGGCCCCACTGACTCCTGAGCTCCATGGCTTGACCCCCAAGGCCCTTCATGAGCTTCTCTACCTTCCCTTTCAGCCTCAGCCTTCACTCCTTCCCACCCTCCTCACACTGCCTAATGTTAGTCTCCAAAATGCCAGGCTTTCTTGCCTTGAGGCCCTAGCATGTGCTCTTTCCTCCTTCTGCTTTACCTGTCCAGGTCTTAGCTTGGATGTCACTGCCTTCTGGAAGCCTTCCTAGAGCTTTCCTCTCCACCCACTCCTCATCACAGCACCTGTCTCCCCCCGTCTCCACCCTGGTCGTGTGGTAGGTAGTTCTCCACTTACTTGTCCTCCTCCCCACCAGACTCACTCAGCAGGGGCTGTGGCTGCCTATCTGCTGGTGGTTCCCAGGGCCCAGCACAGTGTCTGGCATACAGTAGGTGCTCAATAAGCATGTACTGAATAAATAAATGAACGACTTGATAGTAGGGTGGGCACACGGGACAGTGCCTGGGGGTAGATCTGGCCCTGAACCTCCCTGTGTCAGGTGCTGGTGCAGCAGGCACACGTGTCAAGCCACCACCTGATGTCTGCTCACGGCTGGGCTGACTGTGTAGACGTGTGATCACCCACACTTCCTGTGGCAGCACTGATGACAACTCACCAGGGGCATGCAGGGGGGAGGAGATTGGGCAGGGCAGGTGGTACAGGGGCCACAGAGCTGACATGAGCAGGATGAAGCCAACCAAACAGCAGCCCCTGGCTTTTGAGTCAGGGACTACCCTGGCTTTGATGTCGTTTAAGACATTTATGGTCCAGTTCTTCAGAAGCTCCTCGTGTAGGGGCTCTTTTAACCTTCCCTGTGCTCTGACCAGGAAATAACAGTGGAACCTTCATGATTCCTTGAAGAATCAGAGAAAGCTGGACCCTGCCTTGA